TGCACTACCAGGACCTGCACCCACCTATTCCTGTGCTATACAAATGACAAAAAAAACATGTTAGCAGAAATAACGAAGTAATATAAACATACCATCAGTCCATCAGACCATTTCCTAAAAACAAATTGCTGACAAGTGACAATAAGATGAAGCCTACCATTCGAGTGCCAGGACATGACAGCCTCATACCACGGTTAAATAGTGTGACGAGAACAGCAACTAATTGTTCAATGTGTGGTTTAGGCGGCCTCAGGCCATCATAGAAAAACTTCACTTCCTTAGGAGTAGGAGAAGGGTCATCCAAACCAATGGCCGCCACAGATAAAACATCATTAAACTGCCTGCACATACGAACAGCATCCACTAACAGGTTGCCATAGCGATGCTTCAGAGTATCGATGCTCCTCTCCTTACTCTCAACAACACTAGAACAAATGCAAAGACGCTGCTCCAGACCAGCCACTCTCTTTTCCAAAGACTTTGCCTTCTCAGAGCTCACATCCTTCACAAAGACACGGTGTTCATCGCACAGGCACTTGATTACTATACCACTAACACTTTCCACTGCATCATACTTATCACTGCTTTCATCACCGAAAAACTAATAATGAGATACAACACCGTCAGCTCCACAGGGTGAAAGATCAATGTCTATCCAACCACGGTATACTCCAGCAGCCTCTACAGCAAGGCCAACACACCATGAAGCCTGGGCTTCAGTCTGCCCAAAATCTGCCTAAGCACCACACGCTTACATAAAGGAACACAACGAGCGGTGACCATAGTGACCGCAAACAAAGAAACGAATTCAGGTTAGCCCAAAATCATACAAAGATTTAAGACATGTAGCACAATCACAGTAACAGAACGCACCACCAGTACATAAATATCAGCAGGACTGCAGGAGACTCCTTGCTGATTTCTTCATGATAAACAAGTTCTTCCAGAATTGCAACCCCGGCATGCTCTGATCAGGCAAGGAACGAAGACACCGAGGCAGATGCACTCAAAAAACAGGAAACGAACCAGCACCCTCCATCTGCGGCTGAATCGAACCAATCCCTGACAGAACATGCCCAGTACCAGCATTACCGCTAAAAGCACAGCCTTGATTAAGCTTCTGAAGATCAACAGATTAGCCCCTACAATCACAAGGTTGAACCCAGCAGGCGACCGTGGCCACGTCTCAGGCTGGGCATTCGGTTTAAACCGATAATTCGGTTTGGTTAATCGGTCTGGGAAAACTTCGGTTTTGGAGAAGGTCACAACCGAGAGAAAATTGCAATTATAGGATGCGAAACAATGCGCTTCGTTATTATAGGACTCCAAACATCGACTTCGCTAAAACGACCCTTAAAACGTTGGCACTTTGTTATACATGATATTTGATCTTTTTAATCACTTTTCTCAACTAAAATACATGTATTTTTTCATGATGTGATTGTATTGCCCTCAGGGCTTCTATTGATGTGGGATGGGGCTGCTGGCCGTTCGCCTGGCCTGCCTGGCTGGCCGCGGTCTGGTCTGGCTGGCCGCGGAGTTTGATCTGGCCGGCTTTGCTCAAGGCGCTGGCTTGATTTTCATCAGTGCAAACGATTATCATCGTAGCATCTTCACCGTTGAACTCAAGTCTGGGCACATCACCAAGACAGGCAAGACAAGAAATTCCGGCAAAATCTTTCCTTTAATCAGCTTCTGCACTCCTGGTACTAGCTAGTTAGCTTCATGCACATTCATTTATTATACGGTTGTACCGGTGCTGATTGGAAGACCACCGTGTTACCGGAAGAAGCCAAGGCGCTGCTGGTCGATGATAATGATATGGAGAAGGCAACGTTCGAAGGGAAATGGATCAGCTTTGCGGGTCTCGGTGAAGCCTGGGGATGTAGTTTAGTGCTCTTGTCGGTTCTTCTTGTTTTAGTTGTCACTAGGTTCCGTTCTGTGTATCGTTTTTTACGCCGAACTATATACGTAAGAATGCTTAACTGTTGGTCTTTGTAATAAGGGTATAAACCTATCTCATGGGGAGTTGATGCTTGTGATGTAACGGCTCCGTTCGCTGGTCTGAAACTTGGCTGAAAACACTGTTCCGACTAAATTGTTGTGAGAGAAAAACACGGTTTCGGATAAAAAAAGAAGCCGAACAGGACCGTTTTGTATCAGCCATTGTGGATGAATATGACTACGGTTCCTAGTTAGAAAGAAAACAATATCCTGCTATGGTTTTTCCTCTTAACGAGGAGTCCATGACGGTCATTTTTATTGTTTTTTGCAAGGGTTTTATATTACTATTTACTTAAACTAGTGGATAGGCACGTGCGACACGCATGTGGCCATAAAAATGGTAGTTTATAAAGGAGGAATCACAGTGAAATTTTCGAGAAATAACAATGCACGATCGAGAGAACTCAGATAGAAATTAAAATATGTATTTGCCGTAGCAGTTGACTGCTCAATTTATGTGTAGTAGATGACAAGAATCCACGTGAACTGTGTGATTCAGACCCGGACTGTGTGCGTGTTGACTGTTGTGCTTCAGCTTCACACGTGGATCTCTCACGAAGACGAATCCGCTCTTTACCTTGCACTCGCTAGACAAATCAAACTCCAACACAAGGAGCATCTAGCACGGTGCCGAAGAAATAGAACGGTATCCATAGGAGATCCCGGGGACGTCACTGGTGATGCAAGCTTGCTCCCTTAGCCGTCTAATCACGCCACCGTGCAGGACGACGGACGGGACTGGAAGGAAGACCAGCAGAGCTGGCAAGGTTGCGCACTTGCGTATTGACGAGTCAAAAACTATAGGGACTCCTGTGTAAAAACTTGCTTGACAATTCGAACTGTACAAAACTTGCCAGACCGTGGCCAGCCAGATAGGCCAGGCGAGCGGCCAGCAGCCCCATCCCATGTCAATTAAAGCTCTAAGGGTAATACGGTCACATCATGGTAAAATACATGTATTTTAGTTGAGAAAAATGATTAAAAAGATCAAATGTTATGTATAACAAAGTGCTAACGTTTGAAAGGTCGTTTTAGCGAAGTCGATGTTTGGTGTCCTATAATAGCGAAGCGCATTGTTCCGCGTCCTATAATTGCAATTTTCTCCACAACCGATCGGTTGCAGAGAAAATGAGAAACCGACGATCTCGGTTTCGGTTTCATCGGTTCGGTGGTCGGTTTCAACCGAGATTTGCCTGTCTCGTACCTGCGTGGGATCTTGTCCGCTTCTTTCGCCGCAGCAGTCCGTCGCCTTGGTAGTCCCTCGCGGCGCGCCATCCCCGACCGCCCACCACGCGCTTTCGCGCTGTCGTCGCCACGCGCCATGCTACTACCGCATGGCATGGTCGGTCGCGCCGCCACTCCATCGCCTTCGACGCTGGGCGCCGGAGTGAGCCCCACTCGCTTTTTTCGCTGCCGTTACCCCTTCATTGCTGCCATTACCTGGCGCGGGGCGCGACCCACCTCGCCTCCCTCCCGTACCGTACTCGCGCGACACCTCGCACCACGCCGCCGCGCCGCGCACGCTACCGACGCCTCATGATCGCCAAATGGCAAGATCTGACCGCCGGCTTGTTGCCCGTCGAGATTCATGTGTGGTGTGGATAGGGTTTCACTATTTTAGGTCGATGTGTGGTGTGTTCACCGTTGGGCCTTTGGTTTGGGTCTTTGGTAGGTAGCCTGCTATCTGGATGCCTTAGCCTGTGATTTGGAGTCCTGGCGATTGCAGTTCGGTTGATTTCGAGTGTTCGGTTCGGTGAACATCAGAACTGAAGTCGACCACCGAAGCCGAAGTTCCCCAGCACAGAAACCGAAACCGAACCGAACAATCGAAAAAACCGATATTTCGGTGCGGTTCGGGTCGGTTCGGTTCGGTTCGGTTTTCGGGTTTCGGGTAAAATGTGCCCAGGCTGAGCCACGTCACCAGAAAAGATTTTAACCGTTTGATCTCCATGGTTCCTCCCACCATCGCGTTACTGTTTCCTGCCCACGTGTTAGCCTTCCAGTGGTCCAGAGGAAAATATCTCCTTCTCGAACCGTCGCTCCATCCATCGACAAAAAAACCCTTTCTCGCTCTCTCTCCGTCTCTCCCCAGGTCGAGTCGCGGCGCGACCGAGGCGACGGCGCGGGGCGACCTTGGCAGTGGCCGGCCCTCCGCGCGGCAGCGGCCTCCCTTGTCCTCCTCCTCCTCCTCCTGCTCCTCCACCACGCCCCTTCCTCCTCGCGACGCAAGGCAACGGGTCGCAGCGGCACGAACGGCGGCCTAGGGTTTGGCCCCTCCGTCGCCGGTCCTCCCCACGGGTGCGCGGCCAGGTCGGCGGTGTGAGCAGCGATGGGCGGCGCGCGGGCTGGACAACGGCGACCCACCCTCGCGCCCAGCTCTCTCCCTCTCTCCTTCTTTTGTCCGTACAGGAAGCAGGTGAGAAATTTTTGGCCCTTTCATGACCTAGGGTTTGCTGGGGGTGGATTTGATCTCCACAGGAGTGGGATGAGCCGACTATTGCGGCCGAGGTTTCAAGATGGAGATGAGCCGGAGACCAGCCCTCGATGCCATGGTCAGAGCTGCTCTCCCTGCTCCATTGTTGTTAGCATGCTCCAATTTTAGCTCGCTGAATTATGGTTCTTGTGCAGATTTATTTGGCATTTATTGTGTTTCGGTTCTAAATTCCATGTTCCACAGGTACATATTTTCCTTTTCTTCTTACAAAATTGACCATGTATCTTGATTATGTCCGCTCACCTATTTGGTTTTTATCTACTGGATAGGTCTATCTTTTTAGTGGAAAATATTAGTTCACTTATATTGTTATTAAATTACGATAATCGTTAGATGCTAACATGATTCTCTTTAGTTATTTATATTGTCACAGTATAGAACGTTTAGATAAACCAAATACTTGATATATTGTGTAATTGCAGATGTATCTTGATTATGTCCATTCACTAATAGGCATCATCTTGTTTTAACTGTAGTATTCCATAACCAACCTATTTGTTTTTTATCTATTGGATAGGTCTACCTCCCTCGCCCACAGCCGCAGCCTGTACTCGTGCACGGCGGCGAATCCCAGCGTACCACCCTCCATGCTCATGAGCACAGCGCTCCCCTGGAAGTCGACGGAGCATGGAGGTGGTCTGTCAATCACGGAGAATCCACGCGCGGCCACATCGTACCTGAGGATTCTGGCGCTCCCTCGATAGAGGAAGTAGAGCGCGTTCCCCACACGGGCAGGGGGCACGGTCTCCAGCCATTCACGCGAGCGCGGGATCTGAGCAGAGGTCGGGTCACCCCATGCCCCATTGGCAGACGAGTAGACGCAGGAGAAGGTGCTGTCCTTGTCGGTGCCCACCAAGACGACGAGGAACGGCCTGCGGTGGCAGTCGACGAGATGGTCGCACGCGCCGCCGCCGGCCTCAGCGTCAGCGGCGCAGACCAGCGCGGCGCTCCATCTCTCCGGGTACGGGCACCATCGCACCAGGGGCAGTTGCAGCTCCTTGCCCGTGATGGGGCACCACACCCAGAGGCAGGGGATGTTCTCGAATGCCCCCCACTAGCGCAGAGGGTAGAGGAGGACGCGACCGTGGCTGGAGTCGACGGCGTGCCAGTGCCGGCCAAGGCGGCTGGCTCTCAGGAGCGGGCGGAAGGTGGACGTGCTGTGGAAGCGGGAGATGACCTCTGAGTCTTCGAAGTCTTCGCCGTCGCCGTCTTCGTCGTCGTTGTCTTCGCCGTAGACGCCTTCCTCGGGGTCGAAGTAGCCGCTGAGGTCCACGGCGGTGATGAAGCCCAGCATGGGGCCCCGCGGTGGTGGAACTTGCGGAATTGGCTGAGAAAGCCGGTGCCAGGAATGGTGTTTTTCTCACGATATTTTAGCTGAAACAGTGTTTTTCAGAATAAATCCATCCTGCTGGGGCAGATAAGACAAGTGGATCTGAGGGATTTTGTGGATAAGAACGAGCCCTCAAAAAATCTCTGCTCCGCTCCGGTTGAACCAAAACAAACTTCAAGGGGCGTCTCTCCCAGAGTCCCAGGTGGGTGGGGGCCGTGGCTCTGGCAGACACGACTTCAGGGGGCCACCGGCCACGTAGCGTGGGGCCAGCGAAGCAGCAGCGGACAGCACATGCACAGCTGGAGCTAGACCCCACGTCCACGAGGCAGGCAAAGCTAATTCTCAGCTCAGATTTTGGGCACGGTTCAAATCCCTTCTTGTTTAATTCATCCACGAGTGAACATACGAGATTATGGCATGCTTGTCTAATCCGTAGTTTTTAGTTTGTTTTTTTAGTCGGAACAATATTTTTTTTCATACGATAAATCAGTCAGAATAGTATTTTGGTTTGTTTTTTCAGCAAACGAACGAGGCCTATATTATCCGCAATGCAATCACGAGCTCCAGCCTGCTGCCCCCTCCGAGCCTAAAGATTTCAAGTTCAAGCAGCGGCAAAGCGTTGCCACCTTCATCACTCATCATTGAGCTAGATTTGAATACTAAATGTTCAGCCCAAATCTTCATTCAACTTCACGCTTCGACTGAATATTTACTCTAGATACATCTCTCACGTAGTTACGTAACTATGTGAAAGATGTATGTTTATTGGAGGTAGCCATAGTGTAATTCAGAATTACTATCGATAGGCATACAAAAATTCATTTAAACTATAAAAAAACAACATATGTTATAAAATTTTTGAAACTTCTAAATAACAAAATATATGTAGTCTATTGCATGTAAATAAAGTGTATAAAATGTATTTTTAAGGTTGCTTCACAATGTACCATCTCTATTTGCTTGAATAACTATGGTCTACCCGACTCTCTGTACCCCAGCCTAATTTTTACATGGACTAGAATACCTAAGCAGTGTTGGCTAGAATTTTCAAAGTGATTTGCTATTTGCTAAGGTTTAAGTGATTTTCTGTGCGCTTTTAGAAAGTTACTCCAACTTAAACTACATGCCATGTCAAATAATGTCCAAAAAAAATAGACAAAAATATAAGAAGACATGTTTCATATGAGCTCACATCTTGAGAATCGACAGAAGCAACAATATCATAGAGTGGTATGAAAATCCTAAAAGTAGGACTATATATTGTTCACAAATAAGGAGAGGATAACAACAGTGGCTACGATGAGGAGGTGCAAGCATGTGGAAAGGCGCCGGGGGATATGCTCGCACAGGAGACATTCTGTCTTTCCTGTATATACCATCATGGCATTACATCCGTTTGTATTTAGCAGTAAAGCTACATGGGGAAGCTGCAACAATTTATTCGTGCATGCCAACTGTTCGCTAATTTGCTTCTCTAACAAGTGCAATATTTCAAGATTGTATTAAGTGAATGTTGTTGCTTTTGGGCAATGCCCAACAATAATCAAATAGAGGTGTGCTTCCAGGCCTCAGTCCTTACCATCCCATACCCATAATGTCTACCAGACAAATGCACTCTAACACTCATATATGAGATGATTGGCTACAAACTAACCTGGATTACTTTGGTCTTAATTTTTTGTTTATTTTGCAACGCACGGGTGATCTAGTTATACATTAAAAATATGTGTCATGTAAGTTTGTAGAAAATTTTAACCAAGTTTAGGTATTATTACAATTATTCTATTGTGATATGGAGATAGAGGATGAATTATTCCTAGTATACAAGTGATTTTCTTCATCTATCTCCAGGATATAGACTAGAGTGAAATATATGAGCCTGTGTTGCGCAATGAAAGGTGTACAAGCTTTTTCTCAGTGCAAGGTCACTGATTCAATTCTTATGCTGAGCATTGCAACAAACGATTATGCAACACGAGTGGGCGTGGGCTGCGTGTGTGTGGCACCCAACATGATTTTTTTGGTAATGTTATGAGGTCATATTTTTGTCCCCAGCCAAATTTAGTTATTTTTAGGACATTTGTGTATTGTTGAATTGCAAAGAAAAACTATGAAATTACTAACAAATTAGAGTATAAAGTACATGTCGGTGCAGAAAGTGACTAACACGTAAATATTTGTAGTTTTGCTGTACGTTGTGATCGGAGATGGCTTAGCACTCAATGACACAAGGTTTATACTGGTTCAGCCAACGTGCCCTATATCCAGTTTGAGTCGGTCGGTGACTTTATTCTTGAGCCCAGGTGCTCGAAATTTGCTGTGGGGTTATAAACGGAAGGGAGAAAGATGGGGATACAAGACGTCCAGTCGGACTCTGGTCTGAAGGGCCGAGAGTGACGGGAGCCCCGCTATGTGCTAAGTGTTTGAGTGTGTGCTCGGTATAACTTTAGAGTGTTTAAAGTTATAGAGGGTGAGTCAATGCAAGTGAATTGATCGATCTATCTGTTGGGAGAGAGCGCATCCCCTTTTATAGACGAAAGGGATGGTCTTACAAGTGAGCGGGAGAGAGTACGTATGCTACTAAGTCTTGTTGCCCACGCCGGCGGGTACAAGATGATGGTAGGCGCCCACAATACTGTTTGATGTCATATGCACGTGGGAGGTTGCGTCATCTTCTTCTGGTATGGCAGACGTCGGTGCCTGCTATACAGTTGATGCCGAGAGGCATGCAGGGGTTTTACCATGTTCGTCTGGTACGGTAAATGCCGGCGCCCACAACACTGTTCGATGCCTAGAGGCATGTGGGGGAGAGCCTTACCGTGTTTGTCTGGTATGGGAGTTGATGGCGCCCACAACACTGTAGGGAAAATATCGGCGCCTACAACACTGCTTGGGTTCTGTCATGTCAGGGAGGTCGCAGGGTACTGTCCTACAGGTGTACAGGGTATGTTCCTCGGTATTGCGGTTGACTTGGGTGCCCTGCCTTACTTCTTCCGTCCGTTCCCTGGTCCTTACCGAGCGGGCGTCTCCGGTCGGTTGGTCCCAGTCGGCTCTAATTGCGCCAGTCGAAGAAGAGCTGTAAGTAGGGGTTCGACGCATCCACGGTTGGAGACGCGGGTCAGAGTCGGAAAGTGGTGTTTGGCCAGGCCCTCCGGTTGGAGAGGCCGTCCGGAGGTGGGCTAGTGTCGGAAGCGAGCGTTGTTCCTTCTTCGTGAGGCCTTCCGGTCGGAGAGGCGGGCCAGAGTCGGAAGCAGGAGCCGTTCCTCCTCGGCCAGGCCTTCCTGTCGGAGATTGGTTTGTCCTTCTGACCTGTCGTTTAGGTGTTTTGGGTCGGTCCATGAGTTACGCGTCGTTCACAACGTTGTCTGCTGGGCCGAGCCTTTGTTGGGAAGCCGGTCCATAAGGGACCCCGGGTTTATGAACCCGACAGTACACATTACGCTAGAACATGCCATCACTGCCGGGTCGAAACCCCCATCACTATCAGAATTGGGTCCAGAGGACAATCGGCGGTGATGGAGGCCTATCATTGCCAGGTTGAACTATGAACCGACAGTGATATCACGAGCATCACTTTTGGGTTGTAGTATTACCCGACAATGATATCATTAGTTTCATAGACGAGTCATTCTTTCATCCGTCAGTGGCACTCATGAGACCACTATCGGATCAACAGTGGATCGAGAATCAATGAATTAATAGTTAGGTGGATCCAATGACAAACAACACTACAAGGTCAATACAACAATTGACAGTGATTTGTCGGCTCGTGATTTGAATTGGCAGCGATACATAACTAACAGGTGTTAGTCTGAGCTGGCAGTAATATCACATTGATCACTACCGGTTTATGGCTCGACTCGGCAGTGATATATGATTTGAGGTGATAAACGATCCAGCACAGTCAACAGTGATGCTCCGACATTGATTGCATGTTCTGGCAGCTTTATGGGATTGATCAATTGAACTTCCAGAAATCAACCTTCGATATAGCATATATAAATAAAGGAAAGTGGAGGCAAAATCGCTGAGCCCTTCTCTACACAGCCCCTAGATGAAACACACGGTCAAACTTGGGTTTTAGACAGAGAGTTTTGCTCCTGTGGTCCTCTTTTAAAAATTGCACGAATCATAAAGCACGAGGGTGATTAATTATAATTAATTAATTTTGTTTTAATTTGGATTGGGCCGGTCCTATCCTATCCGTGCCCAAAGAAAACCCAGCCCACATTTTCAGAACCTTAGTAGCCTTCGTGTACAAGCCACGCTTTCTAGGATGCCACGTTGATCTTGCCATGCTTGAATCTCTAGAGATCATCAGCCTATTCAGCCGGGCTGAAATAATCGTATACGATCGTGGATTATTACTGCTGGCTGGTTTGGTGTGAGAGAAAAATACTATTCTAGCTAAAATTTACGATTGTTTACTACAAGCGAACATAAAGCTGCTATCCGATCCCAAGCTGTAGCTGAACGTGCCATAGTTCGACTTGAAAGCCGAAAGGCAACTCTAAATGACGGATCGGACAGGCGTGTTCTGGCAGCCACGTAGTAGCCTCGTAGGGAAGGCCGCCGCGCAGCGGAAGTACCATGGCAGATGGTGATACCGATTGGCCTTGGTCGCTGGGTGTGAGTGGTGCCCCCGTCGCCCGTCGGTTCGCCGCTGATGCCGCCCGTCCCATCCAGTCTGCTTTCGCAGGTGGCACACCGTCCATCCCATCAGCGCGGCCACCATGCCGCCATCATCGTCAGCCCTGTCTGCCGCCGCCGTTTGCGAGCATTACGAGACCAGCAACGACACTACGACAGAGTGGAGGATGCGAGGCACGGAAGGCCGCGCGAACGTCCGACCACTCGTGGCACGGCCATCCGCCGCCCACCCTCCCGTTCCTACGACAAATGACCGGAGTCGCGTGATTGGCTGATTGTGTGAATCTGAGCTTTGGTACGCGGAGGGCTGGGCT